GTCTAGCACTCACTGTTATGCTTGTTTTCTTCTCTTCACCATCACGTACAAGCTGACAATCAAACATGCTTGTTAAAGTTTGTCATGAATCCTAACAAGGAAATTCTTGAATTACTATTAGACAAGGAGACCCACTGTTGAAAATCATGATCCTTACAGCTATTAATGCAAATAGGATGGTAAGTCTTCAGAGCCACTTTGGAGCTGGTTTTGTACTTTATTATAATAGAGCCCTTTGCAGAAATTTGCTGGAATTCACAAAGCAACCGGGGGATGTGGGAGAGTTGAGGAGTCCAAAAAACCTTCACATGGTCATTACCATGTTTTCTGATTCATAGAATGGTTTGGATTGTAAGAGGCCTTTAAAAATCACCTAGTTCCAACCCCCACCAAGGGCAAGGATATCTTCCACTAGACGAGGTTCTTAAAGCCCCATCCAACCTGGCCTTGAACACTTTCAGGGATTGGAGACCCAGAGCTTCTCCAGGCAAAATGTTAAACTCAATCTGTTCTCAGATTATACTCAGGACAAGTCATTTTCCAGAATTATTTCCCCCACTGTAGCCCATAGGTTGAGGTAGGCAGGATGGCAACAGACAGTTGCAATCTCCTGCAGGAAGCCTTAACTGAAGTACGTTACCTGAGGTGAACCCTCACAGACAAAAGAGACAATGGAGATGTAAAGGACATGAATTACAAACTACTAAAAAAAAAAAATTTAAAAAGCTCAAACAGATAAAGAAAAATAATATACGTTTGACCCAATGCAAACACTGCTGCTTGGTTCTACAAGTGTAAAAATGTCACAATTGGAAAAAAATTAATCACTTCTTAATTTGACTCCAGGACGTTGAAGCTAAAGTTGAGTAAATTCACTTAAAGATGAATAACAGCAGCAATAAAGTGTTTCTGCAGAAAAACCTCCAATTTCCTTTAATGCTCTCTGCACAGAACATGTCAAACACAGAGGCCTCCTGTTTCAGTCTGTCTGCAGGTGTTGGTAAAAGAAGTACGGAATTGGAAACTGTTTCACTTCTCATCAGCCTGGACTCACCATTAGATACAATTCATTGCACAAGCTGAATAACTAGCATTTGTTTCCGATCAGTATTCTCAGCTCTTCAGGTTCAGGGTTGTCTTTCGCAATCTCACTACTCACCTCCTCTCCCACCAGCCCCACTCGTTACAGCTGATGGCATAAATTGCTATGCTAATGCTTACTGTAAAAGCAGGAAACATGGCTTCTCTCCAAAACAGCGAGAGGGAAGATTATAAAGTCATAATTTCTGATCTTCTCATAAAAAAAACTGTCCAGGCGTTCTGTGCTCCATCTGCTCTCTGGTTCTCAATCTGTGATACACCACCTCATAGCAAGGACTTGAGCTGCGAGGGAGGTGCCGTGTCAGATGAAAACAGAAAGAAGTCTTACCTGTGCAGGGTAGTAAGACTGAAACCATGTTGCTAACGGTCTGGTAAACTTCTTCAAACAGACAACTGCATTTGAAGCAAAAGGATGAAAATAGGTGCAATTTCAGTTATTTAAAATAACTTCAGAATATTTAAGAGCTCTATTCCTTGCAAGCTTAATCTAATTACATAAGAATATTTCATTTTTCCGATTGTATCTCCATTCAACACAATAGGTGAAGCCAGATGCTATCATATTAGTTAGCTCTCACTGTTTTATATTGCTGGCAGCTCCCAAACATTTTTGTTTTAAAAAGACTTTTTGTGACTCCGTTGCCTTGGTTAAATTCTTCATGCTTCTGTTTCAGCCAGCACAGTAAAGACATAGCTGCTGTTTGTTCCATTATACAGGCTGAAGCCTTGCAGTCTAGGCTTTTGTTTTGTAATCACCAAGACAGGAGAATGAGAGGACAGATTTCATTATAAATATTAGGAAAATACTTTAATTTGTGCTTTCAAAGCTAAATAGGCCATAAAAAATAAAGACCCCTGTTAGGCCCCATTTCCTCCAGAACCTTCTAATTAATTTTCCATAATAAAAGGAAGATTACAGATAGAGTAATTGGCAAAAACTTTATTGCTGTAAGAGAAAGTGGTCTATTATGCCCCCAGAAAATGCACCTTGCATGACCCCTTCTCAAGAAAAAAAAAGATATCTATGAACAACTCTCGGTGATTTCCTTTTAATTGAAGCTTTCTATCCAACACTGCCTTGCTCATTTTAGTTTTGTACTGTCAAGCTTTTGAAAACACCAAGTTTTCTAATAAGCAATACAGTAGCCAGTCAGCATTCCTCTGAGCTCTGAATTCAGTGTTTTCAGCCAGGTATTATAGCTCACTCACAGCAATGCTCACATTTTGGTTTGGTTTGAATTTTTTTTCCCAGATATTTAAAACTAACCTCTCACACAAAAATAAAAAGTCTAATTATAGCTTTAAAAATCTTGAACAAAAGAACTCTGAAAACTAGATGGACTAGACATATCTAATATCTGTAACCAGCGGAAGGCATCCATCTCAGAAGTTTCCAAAAAGGCCACAAGACACTGGAAAATGTGGCTAATCATGGCTAACTGTGCTGTGTCTACTTACCATAGTTATTCTTTTGATTCTATAAAGATCAGTGGAATAAAAATACAGACTGATGAGTTTGAGAGATTCCAAGATTCATAATCAAGCCCCCAGATGACTTGGCCTGACCTCCTGAACACACCACACAATTTGTAGCCGAGTAAACCAGATTGGGCAGGGCAGCAGGTTAATGCGTCCCTTCAGCTTCCAGGGTCTTTACATCACTCTTACATTTAATCTTGCTAACAAGCTGCTTTTCCATCACCCAGTTACCTGAAGAAACAAACCATCCATCATCCGCTTCCCAACTACAAAATACTTTTGTTGTTGTTTGCCATTAAAACTGACTCAGATTAGCTATGTTCAGATTCATTTTTATGATCTCTATATCAGCTCGGTCATCCAGTTCTACTGAAGCTACTTGCTGTAGATTCCCTCATTTTTTCTAATTTATGCCCTAGGATCACATTTAGCTCCATTTTCCAAAACCAAAACTCGTCCTCAGCAACACTGATTCAAAGACTTTTTTCTTTTTTTTTTTCTCTTTTTAAGGAACTGTGGCTGACCCTATCTTCTTTAGTCATGCTATTTTTTGAAACCAAGTATGTCTGCTAAAATATCATCTCACATTTTTAAATTCCTATGTCAACTTCTTTTATCCATATATTCTGCAAACCATTTTATTTTTATATTAATAAATAAAAAACCTGTTATTGTAAAATATTATTTTTCTATCTTCATCCTCAAGGTCATGAAGCTATTAGTTGGTAGTCCTATAAGTATTATGAATTAATATATTGCCTTGAAAGTAGTTTCAAAAAGCTTTTCATACAGACAATAAGAGATTATGCAAGCAATCTTCAACAGAAGTTAAGAATTTATGATATTTTCCACCTGTGAGGGAACAGGTTTCAAGTAGATAAGGATAATTTGATCACCGTCTTATTGGTGCAGGTTTTCTCATCTTCATAACAGTGCAGGCTGAATCTACCACATTGCCAAGCTATCAAATAATTTTACTGGATTGTATGTTGTTATAAAATATTTAAAGCAGCCAGGCTGAACTTTCAATTCATAACCAGGAAAACATCTTTGGATCTCAATCCAAAAGCCATCCATCCTCTAATTCTAGAATCTGCACTGTCTCACACAGGGGAGGTTCTGAAAGGCTTCAAGAGGCCTCTAGGACACTGCTGACCACTCCAGCGAGTAAAGTAAAAGCCAGAACACCTAAAATCCATCCTGTGTAATGGTGACTTTTAGCACTGGTACTTTACCAGTGCCTAGAGACTCCTGTGATAGATGAGAGCCTTATGTGCTAGGCACCACACAGAAGCAACAAGGTAAATTCTTCAGAAATTTATCCTCTGAACTCATTCAAATGATATTCCAGTCCAGTTACTATTGTTGAGTAAAGTGTTGAATGTAAACAGGGCTTTCCACTTCTGACAGAGAAACATGCAGTCTCTGCACGCTACAGCCTGGCAGCAGCCCTAAAAGAAAACCCGTAATTTCCCAGAAAACACAGCCAGAAGATACTCATAAGTATGAAAGAGACAGGAAGAGCCTGAGATTCAGTTCCACAGGCCAAACTCAGGAAAGGAAATCAGATAGAAGATGTATACAGATAATAAACTGGTCTCCTTTCTGCAGAAGAACTGACTAAAGGTATATTCTACTCACAGCACAATGCTCTGCAGAGACAAACAAACTAGTTTAGATACTACAAGCAGTGTCTCCTCAAAACAGCACAACCGAGGAAAATGAAAAACCCAAAGCAGGCTAAAATGAGTCTCTTCTCCTAGAGGACTCTGTTCTCCCTGCAGTTTCAGTCTAGCACCATGTAACCAAATCTCTGATGTCCCCGTGCTGTTTTACATTTAATGAGACATAAGTAGCAGCAAATGCATCCATGGGTCACCTGCAGCATTCAGAGCCAGCGTCATCAGCAAGGATTTGGTTTCCTAAATCACAGCATCTTGTCTGATGAGAGGAACCACTGCTGGGGAGAGGCAGAACCCACCTGATCTGGACCGGGAAGAACATCTTTGCAAACAGGCTAAATCCAGCGAGGTGGCTTTACACTGTTTTGGGGATTTTTTAAGAAATAGAGACCAAGGCCCTGAGGCAAGAGAGAAAAACCTTTTACTGCTGTAGGCAGGGGTGTCCTACAGACTTCCTGATCAAGGAACTTGGACATCTGCTGAGAGGACAGCACAGCACTAGACTGGCAATGCAAATTATGGCACTGCATTGGTGACCATTTCCTAACACAGCCACTGAAGGGGCTCACCAGCAGTAACACTGCTGCTGCTCACAAACAGGCATGAACTGGCTGGTGGTCCTTGTCCAGTGGCCTGGGTTGCAGTGACCTCAAGATGACTGAGCTGAGGACATGGAGAAAGGCTGAAAAGGTAATAAGCAGAGTGAGGAGAGATTTTGCAAGTGCAGATTTACGTTTATTAAAGAGAACAGCAGGGTAAAATCCCAGGAGAACAGGCATAAGGTCGAAGCGTTCCCAGGAGAGCTTCTTGATGTTTGAGAATTCAGGCAGGAAGAAGGCACTATGTAAAGACTAGGAGTTTCGGCAGGAGGCCCACTTGGCTTAGGAAGAAGCTTTTTGATGAGCTAAAATTTAGAAAGAAAAAGGGAGATGAAAACCAGGACAGGCAAAAAAAGACAGAGTACAAAAGAACTGTTCAGAAACTTCAGGACAAAATCAGAGAGGCCAGAACTCACCTGAAGACAGGCCTAGGGAGGGACATTTTGGGAATGTAGGGAAGCCATGGGCATGACAGCTGTAAAAGGAAGTTCAGAAAATGTGTGGGTGACAGACAGGGGAGAGAACTCAGTGACAGACAGCAAGAAAAGACTCAACGTCTTTTTTGTCTCAATCTTTACACAAAAAGCTGCTGCACATACCAGCACGCTTCATGTGAGACGCTGACTATGTAATGTGAATATCCCTTCAAACTACCCTTCCTGAGACTAAACCAGAAAGTCAAACAACCAAAGATACTGCAGAACTGAAGTACAATAAAGGATTTATCTCGTAATCCCAGTGTACTCCCTGTTTGTCTTATACTGACTCTCCATACTTGAAGCTAGACATACCCTTTAAAGAAATATTCTGGGGCTATTTGAAACATGCAATTTACTTGCTCCAATTACAGCTGTTTATCAGTGTGAGCAAGTCATTTTGAAACAGTTTCGAGTTTGTTATTCTCTGTAAATTACAACCAGAGATACCCAGACTGTCTCATCAATCACACCAAGACTGAAGAAACATGTTTCCAGTAGACTTTAACTGCTCATAAACTCTGATAATTTTATCCTGTTGAATTGCTTAGTGCCCTGTGTTGGTGCTGTAAATGACAAGCAAACAAGCTAGAGCCACAGCCAGAAAGATCTGGGGAAATGAGATGGAAAGCACTGTTCCTTTAATCTGTTGAGGTCATTTTGTACCCTCCCCATCAAAGCATCTGAAACACCTCTTTATAGTGTCTTTTCTAGATCCTTTGTCACATCAGGTGATATTTGCTCTCTTACTCTCTCCCCTGGTTTCAAGAGAAACTGTTTTCAAGACTTATGCAGTTGTCTGCGACTGGAAAATGTAGGTATTCTTTGTATAGGGAAAAACAAGCAAAAACTTTTTAAGAATAAAAGGTGTTTTTATTGTGTTTAGAGAGAAAAATAACAATTCTGCCTTTTTTCTTTTTTAAGTGAGAAATCATAAAATATTCTCATGCTACATGAAAACATGAGATTACCTGAAATTATCTTAACTTCCCATGGTTGCCAAGATATCACATGTATAAGAACTTATCTACAATATACTTACTTGTCTCTGTTCTTACCTAAACTGAACCCTGGAAGAGGCCTCATCCCTTCCCCCAAAATAGTCCTTCAACAGTTGTTTCACACATCTTGAACAGAATGGTGAGCACCACAGCTGACAACACTGTTCCTTTAGCTTGACAGTTACTTTCTAAAATTACCCTTTCATATTTAGTTACTTAATCTTCCTACAGTCCAATTATGAAGGCATTTCTTATTGAGCACAGTATTAATTTATAAATATTAATGAAATCATAAGCCTTGTCTATTGAGCATGGTATTGACCTGGTATTCTCCTGATTATTATTTAAATCTATATAAAGACAATTTAAACTCTCGATTAAACAGTCAAAATCCTACAAAAACTCCTATACTACTTCTATAAACTGGAGAACGTAGGAGCAAGAAAATCGGTAATACTGGATTATATCAGGAAAAATTTCTTCACTGAAAGGGTTATCAAGGACTGGAAAAGTCTGCCCAGGGAAGTGGTTGAGTCACCATCCCTGGAGGAATTTAAAAGACATGTAGATGTGGTGCTTTGGGACATGGTTTAATGGTGGACTTGGAAATGTAAATGGTTAGACTCAATGATCTAAGGGGTCTTTTCTAATCTAAATGATTACATAATCTTCTTTTTACCTTCAAAGCAAGATATATATCTGCTATAGCTCAGAATTAAATTCTACAAAGAAGAAACTATTTTGGAGATGAAACTTATTTTCCATTTGGATTTAGAGTTTGATTTTATATTTCCCAGTACTTTGTATTTTTCTAAGTTACTAAGCTGGATAAAGTTTTTAACACTGTTATACAGTTATTGCTATATTTTCAGTTTCCTAAAGAAACATTTGTTTTTAAAATCTCACACTGGACTAAATGAATAAAAGCAAACAAACACACATCATGATTTCTGTGAGGAAATAAAACACAGACAATAGTGAAAACATCTGCTTCCAAAAAGTCAAACTAACTCGATATTCCAAATAAAGATGAGATTTCTGATTTTATGAACATCATACAAACTCTGAGGCAGCTGTGAATAGCAGTCCAACAGAAACCTACATCCAAATCTGATTAAAAACAGACCTTTTTCCCCTCAAAGCAAAACAAAAAGGAATCAACCTTCTATCCTCTGACCCACAAACCAAGTCTTCATTGAAAACCTTGTGCTAGTGAACCTCTGTGAACCTCAGCATTCATCAGGCTGATGGATTCTTAAGGTCCCAAGTTCCACTGGACTTTACCGTGGAACACTACAAACACAGTGGTACAGTAAACACTGTAAACTGCCAAGGCATATTGTGGAATAATGAAAATCACTTCCTACAATCACACCAAAAGAACAGTAACTTCTGATGGTTTAGTAGTAAGAGATACCATTTTTAACAGTTTTGTTATGTTTTTGAACTTTGGTGCCAAAAAGACAGTGATAGGTCTTCCGAGTGCTTTAAAAAAAAAAAATTAAAATCTCATTACACTTTAATTCCCACTGAAATCAAAGAAATGCAAAACCCACCAGAAATATAGCTTGTAGGAATGCAACCATGGCTGCAGCAAAATACATTTCTGACCAAAGCATAGCAATAAATCAGAGGCAAAATGAGAATACAGGAGTGTCATCCTGTTATCCTAATCCTGCTCCCCAGTACGGCCAAATAGCTTTAGAGCACCTAAGTAACAGTGACAAGGTCCAATCCACATGACAGAGGCAAGAGCTGATGCAGAAACCTTCTTAGATGGTACCTCAGTTTAGAGTCCCTAGGTGGAACAAGGCCTCATAACCTCAAAGATCTAATCAGGGACCAATGCAGACACAGGGAGAAACTGTGGCATATTTTCAACAAGCTTCATTTTTCTCATCCATTGAACTATCCTTCACATGTTTTGATGTTTATAAGCCATGAGGCTCTCGGTACAGCAGCTCAATCAAACAAGGCTCAATCAAACAAAGTGGGCAGCCAAGAACAGCCAAGGGCTCCACGGTCACTGAAGGGCACAGAAACTGTCACCACTCCAAAGGACTGAAGCACAGCTACACAGCTATGCAAAACAACAGATTTTTTTTCCCACAACTAACTAGAAAAAAATCTAGGACTTCCAGCAACGGGCACGTCTGTCCTTAATAACTACTTTACAGGCAGCCAGGATACGAAGGGACATTATTGTGTGCACAGTGTGAGATAGAACAGCAAAGGGAAGACCACATTCCGATCACCCTCCTCATCCACAGCGCAGCTGATAATGGCAGCTTCCCCCAGCCCAGTGAACCAGGCGGAACACAGCGTTTGCAGCCAACAAAGCTGATTTTATGGTGCTACACTGCAAGTCCCAGACAGAATCTTACAGCAGTGAAGTTCTTCGGGGGCTACGGACTCACAGGCCCAACATAGAAGTATCTTCTACAGATATTCAGAGTGCAGTACCAACCCTCTGAAACCAACTACAGCTCCTCCCTTTGTTGATAAGGTGATACCTAATTGGGCATTAAGTTATTTAGGGCATCACTCATCAACAAATTGCTCATGGTACCTGTTTGATTACCAGAAGCCACAGGAAATTTTAGGGCCTTATCCCTCTTTCCTAGTTCTAAATCCTCACCTTTCAAAGCAATATTTCATTTTGATTACCTAAAGAGTTCCCACAGAATGACTACTGATTATATTTAAATGACATATACAATTGAACAGAGGAGTACTCAATAAACACATTAAAAAGAACATTTGTACTTCAGTAACATATTTGCTAGCAAATAAGATTTTATTTATAACTACCAGCCTTTCTTTGACTATTTAACAGAACTATAACTCTAATGCCACCAGCTGCCAAACTGAAACAGAAATCTCTCTAGTGTCCTAATATGTCAGGCCACTTCATCTCTGGGATAATGGATTTTTTCTCTCCTTTGACTTAAGAAAAAATTTTTACTTTGCCATAATTGTTTCTAAAGGTGTTCTTTTCTGTTCCAACACACAGAAGCATTTTATCTCTACCATGAAGAGTTGCTGATAGTTCCTTTAAAACCTTGAATGTACTACCAAAAAAAGCAGTATCTGTGAGAGGACACAGCTAGAAAGTGAGTTTTCATATGTAATTTACAACAAATTTCACTTGTGATAAATGAAATATCAAATAAAAATAACAGCAATATTTTAATTAAATAATCTGAATAAAACAGTAAGTACTTACCATATGTGGTATATATAATTTCATTTTCTTCATAGACAGCCATTAGCAGGGTCTCCATCTAAACCTTGAAACAAAAAAAACCTAGCCAGAACACCAAAATCTTTATGTGAAAGAAATTATCAACACAATTACTTTCTAATGCAAAGCTCTACTATCTAAACTTTTCCATGACTTGTGGAGAATAACTTAATATCTATGAGGTCAATTCTTTAACAACTAGAGATTCACCCCAGTGAACAAAGGTCTTGAGAATTCAGTGAAGCCACACCCTTGGACTGGAGATCTTCACACAAACCACAGTTTAACATTTTTATTTAATACTTGTTCTGAGAGAGAAACTTACAGCTTCAACTTGACAACTTAAGTAGGCTAGGCATTGCAAAAACATTTTAAGACATAAGCTCTCTCCAAAGGGATCATGGTACAAGTTAATTTTAAACTAGTTTAACAGCTAGTTTCTGACATAAAATTAGGGCTTCAGAAAAAGCAAAGAGGCTTGATGTATTGTATCAATACACTTATTAGAAGTCTAAATCCTGCACTATATTTAAATAGACAGCATTTAAATACTTAGCTAAATGGAAAGCACTCAAATTATGAGCTACAGCTGTAAAAATAACAGCCGCTCTACTTATTCTTCCTTGAGGATCTGGTTAGATTAACACATATGTAACACATGATTTATTCATTGGTTTCTGAGTAGAAACGTAAAGTAGCTAGACTGAACTATAAAAAACAGGTTAGTATAATTTCTCCTTTTAACACAGTTCAGAAAGAGCAATATGAATCCTGTCAGATTGTACAAGGCTTTTTTTTCTTGTTTTAGAACAGCTAATTTAAGCACATGATTCAGTTATCTCAGCACTGATGGATTAGGCCAGGAAAATACAGTCAACGCTACTTTAGGAACATCTTGATTCTCAGATTCTAAAATTCAAATACAGAACTGTAAGCTCTAAATACAAACCACCAAATAGTTACAGAAACACAACAGGAAGCTTTGGGTTTCTCTAAGCACACATCCTTTAAGCTGTTAATTTTGAAATAAATCATTTAGGAGTCTGATGATTAATACCTGTCATGGTTTGAGATAGCCCCAAAATCCAATCCTCTAGTCTAAGCCCCCTCCCACATCTCAACCTAATGTGAGATGGGTTTTTCCAGACAAAACACACCAGACTCAGAACGGGGGAAAGGGAATATATTACAATGACTGTACAGATAAATACCATATCACATTATAC